AACAAAGGCTTAAAAGTAAATTTAGACCAAAATACCTTGATCTCTGTAATTTAAGCAGTTTACTTTGCTTTCTCATTCTTAAAAATGATGATCTTGAAATTTGAAGAATCGTTCTGTTCTGTTTGGTTATCTCTAGAGATATAAGATTGTTCTCTAGCTCTTGGGTTAAGTTGCAAAAATTTGAGTTGGAGAATAAATTGGTAAACTAATGAGGTGCAGTGATTTTTAACCACAGCTTCATCTCAGAGCTACATGGAAGCATTAGAAAATAATTTCTGTATAGATTCCTCACCTAGAAAGCTGGTTCAGTAGGTCTGGGGCAGAACATGGTAATCAATATTTTTAAAGCTCCATAACTGATTCTGGGGGTGTATGCTTATTCTTTCAAATGAGATCACGATGGTAAAAGACTGTTTTGTCTAAGGGCTGACCCTGGAATTATTTCTGAAAATCGACCTCTAACCTTTGTTTCTCAGATACATTTGCCTTTCACTTATGCTTCGGTGTATTACTTTCCTGTGGCTGCTGTAACGAATTGTCACGAGCTTGGCATCTAAAAAGAACAGTGATCCATTCTACCATGGTTTGGGGGCCTGAAGTCTGACAACATGCTGTCAAATGGGCTGTACACCTCTCAGGGGGCGAATCTGTTCCTGGCCTTTTCCACCTTCTGGCAGTTTCCAGCATACCATGGCTCCTGTCTTGGTCACTCTGCTCTCTCTGTTCCTCTTCATGATGCCACCTTCTTCTCTGAATCTGTCCTGGCTGCCTTCTTATAAAGAGCTTTGCAACTGCATTTAGGGGCAACCCTGATATTCTCCCCATCTCAGGTTCTTTAATTTAATTACACGGCTCAAGTTTTTGTCATATAAGGTAATATTCCAAGGTTCCAGCGATTAGGCCCTGGACATCTCCTGGACCTCCATGCAGGTTATTGCCTCTCTGTATGTATCCACGTGTGCTGCTGTAGCACCTCTCTCCACCTGTCCCCAACTACCATGCCACATTGGTGACACACCCTCCCTCTTGGGCTAGGCCGGATGACTTATCTCCAGCTGTATGAAGGGTTATTTACCTGAGCTGCAGTCCATACCCAGTTTTAGTCACTCAGGTGGCAAATACTTTGGGTCCTAAGTGGACTGAAATGTAGGATCATTGCAGCAAGCCCATCGACCTCACTCAACAAAAGCACATAAAGCATGTGTCCTAACAGCAATGGCTCCTGTGAAAGCTCATCTTTGAAGAATAGAATCTTACAGTGACCAGCATGATCCGAGTCAATTCTAAGAGGCACAAGCCCGTTTTCCTTCACAGCATGGGCCTTCACTTAGCCAGGCACACACAGTACTGCCAAGTGTGGTCTCAGGAGGAGACAACGTAGTTAGTTGATAGCAAGCATGAAGAGCCCGGCCGGGGCTGCAGCTCAGGCAGGGTAGCATGCATGCTTTGTGTGCTCAAGGTTCTAGTTTCAGTCCCCGGCACCAAAAAAAAAAGTAGTTTGTGAGTCAGAGTTTGTGAAAACCAAGTATGGGACCTTGAGGATTTAATTCACGTTGGGCTTCATTTTCCTCATGTAAGGAAGTGTTTGTTTCATGAGCTCAGGCTCCTTTTAGCAGTTCCGTTGTGTTGTTCCTTCTCTTATTAGAAAGGAGAAGAGGAGCCAGTGTGCAGATGCATTTATAGAGAAGAGGTAAGAGGTTAAGGTGGCTTATAATGAAGTTAAATGGTGAATATCTAGTGGTATCAATTTGTGCTATTAATTTTTTCTAGTATGGTTGAATAGGTCACAAATTGGGGAAGTTTTGCAGTCCAGGAAGGTTTTGCGAATGGTTAGATCAACAGTATCCCACCCCTACCCCCATTAACAGTTTCCCCAGAGCCCTTGATTTCTGAGCTAGACCTAATCATAGTGCCTCATTACCTGGCTCACAGACTGGTTCTCAGAAGAACAGGTGCCTAAAACTACAACAGTGAGACACTCTATCTGGGAGTTTTCACACTGGAAAGAAAGAACTGTTTTCTCTTCTTGAGAGAGAGAGGATGTGGACAGGCATTGCTTGTAGTGGACACTTTTCTTGTGTTACAGAGAAACAAGGACAAGACCTGTCTGGGGTGGGAAGAAGAAAGAGGTCTTTGAATTCCTGTATTCCTAAGGCTAGCTCCATCCATACCTTTCTATGATTTGGCTACATAAACTTTCAGGTTCCCCTTATCCCTAGTTTTGGTATCTGTCACTTGAAACTAAAACAAACAAACAAACAAACAAAAAACCTTGATTCGTACACAGGATGTCAGTGTAAAGAAGTCAGGGTAGGATTAGTTAAGAGTTACATGTTTTCAGATACAACAGATAACATAACAAAAAAGTTGAAGATAAAGGTTGAGTATCCATCATCCAAAATGCTTAGACCAGACGTATTTCAGATTTTTAATTTTTTCACATGTTGGAACATTTGCATAGGCATAATAGGATATCTTGAGGGGGGACGCTAGTCTAAACATGGAATTTGTTCTCTATACACTAATCACATAGACTAAAGGTAAATTTATACAGTGTTTTAAAGTTTTGTGTATGACATGAACCAAATTTAGTGGTATGGAATTTTCCTTTTTGTGGTATCAAAAAGGTCCCAATTTTGGAGCATTTCAAATTTCAGAGTATTTTGGATTTGGAATTTTTAGATTAGGTATGCTCAACCTGTGTTAACAAAACTGCTTGAAGTGATAGATCATATGGTGCATCATGGAGTCTAGGTTGACCGCTGGGTAGGAGGTAAAGAGCAGACATGGGCACTCGGTTTCTAACTGGGCTGGGCATAAAAGCATAGAACTTGTGAGCCAGGTCTGGAAGTTTTAACTGCTTTTGTAAACCATCTTCCTTTTATTAATAACACTAATGGCTCATGATAAAACACTACAGAGAATCAGGAAAATACCTTTCTGATTTTGTAATTATAAAGGATCGGGTAGCATCTACCTTTTTAGATTTGGCATGCTACAATAAAAAAAAAAATTATTATAAACCCAGGGTGAGGACTTGACCTACAAGTCTGATGACAGGTCTGATGAATTTAATGAGTGACTTTTCATGAGATTTTTGTCGAGTTCCATTTCTTGTAAAGCAAATACCCTCAAGTGCAAAACAATTTGAAAAGAAACTGTTGAAAGGAAGAATTGAATGTATTAGAAAATCTTTAGATGCTCAGATATAATTTTCCAACTATCTACCTTTATAATCAGCTTTAAAAAGATCTTTGCCACCTGGTGAATTACTCTGCGCAATATTGAGTATGCTAGGAGATAAAGAGCCTTCAGTGATCTTTCTCTTTTCAATTGCAGTTTCCCAGCCCACTATTACTGGTGGGTTCAAAATGGCTCAGACAAGTAATAGAATCCATTTAAAAGGCATTTGTCCAGCAAAGTCCTGAGACACTCTGCACCTCCTAAGTGTTCATCTTCAGGAGACATGAGCTATGTCATAGGCTTTTGGAGTCCTTTAGTAAATTTCAAGTTTTTCAAACAGAACATCTAATTTATAGTGTGTTCTTTGCACTTTAATTTATCCTTTGTTTTAATTTGTAGTTCTCTCATTGTCTGAAGACATACTTTACCATGTCCTAATAAGGATAAAATGTGTCCTGATTAGTATTCACTATCACATTAGTCAGTAAACTATTATGCCATACTGGAGAACTTCCACATTACCTGTCAAAATAGTGTTTAAGGATACATGTTTTGAGTCTTAAGTAATAGAAAATATATAACTTTTTGTACTAGATTTGGAAGTGTTTTGATGAAAAAGGAATTCAATACTTACGTGCAGTCTTTCTGCACGCAGACACTGGGATGAGACATATTAAGAGGGAGAAGATAGGAATTCAAGGCATTTCTACCACTGCTCTGCTGGTAGGCAGGTTCTGAATCCCGCCTTTCCTTGTGTAAAAGAGGATCTGTATGGTATCTAATTCCTTCTTTTTTTCCTAATTCAAAGTCTTTGCAAAACCTTCAAGCTGTAATAGGTCCAAGTCCTTTAAGGAAAAAAATGTTCCAATGTAATAATAATATTATACATAAAGTTCTTTTCAGTTTAATTTGCTGTTGTGGTTTTATATCTTAGAAATACACTTGTTTTATCTTTGTAATATCTCATTCAAAATTTAAAGCATTTTTTCCAGGTAGTCGTTGTAATGGAATAAGTTGATTTATAAGGATTTTATATGTAATGCTGGGGCTAGGAGAATCGGGGAAGCAGTCTTAGGCTGACTTGACTGTGTTCTTATTGTTACCAAGACCCTAGGAAGCTTTCTGTTCCCTCCACCACCACACACGGGAACCAGTATAATACTTCACTGTAAAGCAGAATTATGACATTAGAACAATAAGAACTGCTTAAGTCATTGGTATTGAAATACATTTCCATATCTGGCTTCAGCCCCCTTCCATGCATCTTATCTAGATGCCATGAAGTCTTCCATAGGTAAAAAAGAACCTGAGTACCACCAATATTTGTCTAAATTAATGAAACTGTAAGTTAATTTAATGAATGAGTTTAATTTTAATCACATCTAATTTTACTTTATAATACATAGGGTTGTCTTATTTTTTTTTAAATATATATATTTTTTTAGTTGTAGTTGGACATAATACCTTTATTTTTATGTGGTGCTGAGGATCGAACCCAGGGCGCCTTGCACGGGTAGGCGAGCGCTCTACTGCTGAGCCACAACCCTAGCCAGGTAGTCTTTATTTATAAAAGACATTTTCTAGTTGTGAAAGTGTTTCATAAAACTCTGCTCACTTTGCACTTGTTTGCCCCACTTGTTTCTTCCTCACCTTCCCAGAGCGTTGGCAAGGGGTTCCAGGCCCTCCTGTTCAGATGGTCAGACTGGGAAGGTGTGAATGAGTTACTTGCAGACTCAGTAAAGCTTTGGTCATGTGCTGAATTCAGAATATGGAACAGAATGAAAACAATAATTCAATCTTATTTTTTCTCTTTACAGGCTCTGTACAACTCAATCAAGAATGAGAAGCTGGAATGGGCAGTGTAAGTATGCTGGATGGATGTCAACCTTTTAATAATGAACAACTCCCTTTATTTCCTACTTTCTGTCTTCATGCCTTGGAGGTGATTTCAGAGGGACATTAAATATGTATTGTCAGCTCTTATTTTACACTAAGTGTCTTAACTACTTGTGTAAAACCTTAGTGAACAATGAGTGTGGATTTTTCTTGTTTGTTTTTCCTCTTGGCATGCAGAATGCTTTTGCTTTAATCTGGTTGCTCTGTGAACAATTTTATTTACGTGTATGTACATGTAACACATATACACACTTTTTTTTTTTTGCAGTCCCGGGAATTGAACCCAGGGCCTCGCACATACTAGGCAGGTACTCTACCACTAAGCTATATTCCCAGCCCCAATTCATTGTATTGTTAATGTGTCCTTTAAAAATAGCATTCTGAAAAAAAATTTGATAAAGTTGTATTTATTTCAAAACCCAATACACATGATTTGGGTGCACTACTTAATTTTAGTTCTCTCCTTCCTATCATCATAAATCAAACCTTTCTAATCCTATTTCCTATGAAACTATCATACAAGGACATGGATAGATACTAACCATAAAAAGAAAAGCAGTCTCTGGATAGATAAGCTTGAGAAGCTATGAACTAAATAAAGGTAAAAAATTTTTTAGCTTAAAACCTTTCAGGAGGCTTATACAGTGCCATTGTATATTATCAAGAGAAATGAAGTTTCTATGTTTCCTGAATCTATTTGACAGTAAAATTGTAGTGTTTCAAGGTACCCATTTTGGAAATTAGTACCACAGTAAGTTAGCTTTACATAAATTGACAATACTGCTTTTTAAAAATATTTTTTAGACGTTGATGGACTTTTATTTTATTCGTTTATTTATATATGGTGCTGAGAATCGAAGCCAGTGCCTCACACATGCTAGCCAAGCACTTTACCTTTGAGCCACAACTCTAGCCCAGACAATACCTCTCTTTTTAAATTTTCACTAATCAATACAACAGTTGAAAAAATATTGTTAAAAATTATTATGAAAGAATCTTCACTAAATCTTTGATCAAATATTGAGATATTATGTCAAAATATGTTTTAATATGAGCTTAATGCAAATTTTATTTTTTATTTCCACTAATGGAGTGTGTGTGTGTGTGTGTGTGTGTGTGTATGTATATGTGTGATTTTTTTTTTTTTTTTAAACCAAGTGGCTTAGCAATCTATAGTGAAGTCAGCTTTATAGAATCCTAACTTGGAAGATGAATCTTGTTTTTCACATGTACTTTGGGGGAAAGTGGTTTAGCAGATAACTAGTCTCATATTTAATATGCTAGAGTTAATTTTTAAAAAAGTAAAGCTGCTCAAATTAAGTTTCTACTAACTGCAAAGTTCTATGGTACTGTTTTAAATTAAGGAGTCAAAGTTTAAGACTTGTATATTTGCATATATATATAAATGGCTTATATGTCTGTGTGTTCATACATGATGAGTCTCATTTAAAGAGAGTGTGCCATTTCAAGGAAAGCTCAAGACAATTAAGAATCTATGGTACAAAATCCAAGATAATAATTATTTTGGATTTATATCTCATAGTTGAATGTATGTTTCCTAGAAAAATTCTGTGCATGACATATGTAGAATCTTGCTGAAATGCTGAAGGCATATCCTGATCTATGCAGAATATACTCTCTAGAGAAAATTCATAAAAATGAAGTAATTGTAAATATATTCACACTGGACAAGAGAATATTTTGAGGATGATTTTACAAAATTATTTTACAAAGCAAATATTATGCTCCCGAGAACCTGCTTTCTAAATCTTGTTTTTTTTAACACATCAGATTTGTTTCTATATGTTTCTATATATATGAATTTTATTCATATATTTATGTACAGTTGGGACGTGGTGCAAGAAAGTTTTATCTTGAGTCCTATCCAAGAGGGTGAGAGATGGATGATAGTGTATGCAAGAGCTGAATTCTTCTGTGTCCTTTTGTCAAGTCAGCAGAGCATTTTGTTCAGGAACCTAGGTTTCAGAGTCAGATAAAGTTGAGTTTGAGTTCTAGCTTTGCCATGTACTAGTTGGGTCACAGGCCAAGTAAGCTTCTAGGCCTCAGTTTCCCATTCTGTAAGATAGATGGAGCAGTTATTGAGCTTAATGTAACCAAAAGTGTAGTAGGGTCTTTTTTTTTTTTTCCTAATACTCCAATTGATAGTCATAATATCCTACCTAATGCTGTAGCTTTTAAAGCCCCAGTTTCTATTTCTTAAATTTCTCATTCATATGCCTGTACATATACTACATTCTTATGCTTTTAAAGAATACAATAAGGCACTGTAGTAGTAAAATAAAGGGATTAGATTAAATGATCACAAGTGTCCTTCCCAGTTCCAAAGTTCTGAATTTTATTATACATAGCACTTTCCTCAACTGAGGTCCTATGGAAACAGCATTGAAGTATCTGATGGAGATAAAATAGTCTGTGGTTCAGATGAGCCTGTTACTGAAAAGCTTGTCCTTGTCCCCAGGGCCAATCCAATTACAAGGGTGTGGTTTTGAAAAAAGACTAAAGAAGCCTTATTGCTTTGCTACGAAAGAAGAAATACAGGGTTACTCCTCTCCCAAAGGACCTCTCCAACCACTTTTTCCTCCAACTCATTTTTCACCTAGAACCAATTAATGTTGGTACCAGTGCTTAGACATATCTTCTTTCAATATAGTCTCTTTCTTAACAATCTCATTCATTCTTGAAACTTCATTTGCCATCTGTATAAAAGATCTCCAAGGTAAAAATTCTGATTCTGCTCATCAAGGGAATGGAGGATTTATAAAGCTCTAATAAATAAATTAATATACAAATAGGAGGTTCAAAGGCTGCATTCCAAGGGTTCCCTGTCAGGGGAGGGTGCTGGGTTTCTGTTCTCACGACTAAAAGGCTCAGTCAGGGGTCACTCTAGTTAAACTGGGCTAACTGGGCTGCACGAAATAACCACACAAGAGACACAAATACCTTTTTCTTTGGGGTTGCTGTGACGGCTCCTCTGACCTTAAGGGTCCACAGAAAGAGAGAGCACACGCGCTGACCCCTTTTATTGAGGAGAAGCTATTCAAATGAGGCAAGGGGTCAGGTTTCAGGGGGCTGAGTCTATCTTCATGATGTCCACTGTCAGCAGGTTGACTGACACCTGGGTAGGCCACACCCAAGGGCACAGTAAGAGGAGGGGACACACAAAAGGCACTTCCATGGAAGATTCTATCCTAAACAGGGCAAGGGGTTATATTACAAAGGAACAGGTGATCATAGCTTCACCCATGGGGCTGTAGCAAGACACACCCATTTCTGTGACTGAGCGCCTCAGCACCCAGCTGGGGAGTGTAACTCAGTCACCGGTAAGGTTGGCCTTCCACAGGAGGGTATGTGTGGGGGGTATTTTACTTGTTAATTTGGGAAATAGTAATTTCTTAGATCTTCTGGAGACATCTTTGAAGTCTAAATTATTTAATTCCTATGCTGAGTTGTATGCCCAGAGACAGATAACTCTGCCTAGGACAGGGGAAAATGGTAATCCTGTTTGCCCCTGAGATTAGGGAGGGGAAGAGAGAGGAAGAGAAAGAACACTTCCATTTTAAAAATAAGCCACATTGGCAGAGCAACAGGGCTGTTTTCATAGAATAAAGTGGACCACTGCTACAAGCATGGTATGAACAAAAGTTACACAGATTTCTTTTTTTCCCAGCTGATTCGGCCTTTAACAATCTGATGTGTATTTTAAATTTTGACCAGAGATGAAGGGCTAGTCTAGTCCCTCTGCTTTATAAATCACCGGGTCTGCTTTGATCACAAAGCACTTTTTAACATTCACTAAAATTAGTGGTCTCTAGAACACACTTTAGAGGACACTGCTGTTCAGTTTATGTGCTCTATCAGGAGCTGTGCTCTTTCCTTTTTAAACTTGTATGTGCATGGATATTGTCATAATACTGTGCTCTTCAGTTCTCCTAGGACCTTTCCAACCATTCTTCCTCCAACTAATTTTCCACCTAGAACCCATTAATGTTGGTACCAGTGCTTAGACGTGTCTTCTTTCCATATAGTCTCTTTCTTAATAATCTCATTCATTCCTGAAACTTCATCTGCCATCTCTATAAAAGATCTCCAAGATAAAAATTCAACTCTGACCTCTTCCCCATGTTTCAGTTCAATATATGCATTTTCCATGGGACACTTCTGCCAGCACTTAGCAGTCATCATCTGTCTCCCACCTTTGTTGTAGGTTCTCCATTCCAGGTAGCCACAGAGTAGTGCTTACCTGGATTTTAGCCCCTGTCCTCTTTGATTCCACTCACTCTTCACTCCTGAAGTGGCTGCAGTGCACATCCCATCCCCTTCTCCTCCTCCTCCTCCTCCTCCTCCTCCTCCTGGGATTTATACTTTTTCCCTGTTAACCCAGTCTCTTTCCTTTAACCCATTTGAAACATCCCTGTGTGGTAAATTTCAGTTAGTCCCTGTGCACTTGGCCTGTAATCTCATTTGTTCCTCATTATTGTCTTCATGCTGTTCTCATTTCAACCCGGCTACCATTAGATACAGTTCTCTGTGCTTGTCCTATGGCTTCCTGGTCATTTCCATGGAGTGACCTTTACTTGCCATCTGTATCTGCCCTACCTTACAGCCCAGTTTAGGTAACACCCATTCCTTGAAGTCTTGCCTGATCTTGCCAATTAGAAATCATCTCAGTCCTTAAAGGTCCATTTTACTTTATTTGATGACACCATCAGTTTTACTTCCCATTATAATTCTTTATCATAAGGTATCATCAGACTGTAAGTTTTTTAATTGACACATGTGTATCATTTCCTTAATCTTCTTTGCCTCAGATATGTAATGAAGATCCATGATTGTCTATAGAAAAGATTAGGTGTGTAGCTCAGTGTGTGAGCACAAGACCCTGGTTTTAATCCCCAGCATGGGGATTGGGAGTATAGAAAGTCCATTAATAATACTCAAAGATTG